TGAATGTAAACAACCAGTTCAAATAACACATGCCAAGAATAAGATTTAATGACACATTTGTAAAAGGAAGACAAAGTACAGGAAATGTATTACTTGGGCAACCAACTAGTCTTGCTGACGGCTAATATTCCTTACAACTCTGAGATTCTTCCACTTTGCATTATGAAAGAATATCACTACAATTATAATTCTGGGTATAGCTAAAGTACATCTGAAATTATTTCTTTGCAAATAATTAAAAAACACAATTCAGGTGAGAGGAAATTACTTGTATCACCTGATAGTCATCTAATTATGCAGATATGCCTTGCTTTTTAAAAACCTTTACTGAAATAGCTCCAGAGAACACTGAATTGTGTTTAGGCCATGAAAGGGTGTCATTCGGTTCAATTAGAATTTGGCTATAAAATACCACTTCCGTAACTAACTGCATAGTTGGCTGTATTAGCATTGTTTAATAGGCTAGCATTTAAATGATGCCAGGCCACACTATCTTTAAAAATGTGTTCTTATGCCTGATTGAACCAGTTCCTCCTGGCACATTCTGTCCATTAGTAGGGTTTTTTTGGGGGGGGGGGAGAGTAGGGGAGACACATATAATTCAGCCCAGAATCAATAGTGCCAAAGTTAAAAAATCTTGGTCTGCGCTCTCTTTCATTGCCTATTCTTTCACACACGTTGCTCCCGTCTCCTATTCTCTCTGTCCTGCAGCTCTCTAGTACCTGCTAGCCACATATGAGGCACCTCTAAACTCAGTCCTTTCCTCATTTTACTTAAAACTCATTTCCTAAAGCAAAAAGACATTGTCAAGATTAATAAATCTAGTTAACAGATTCCTGCAGCACACCGAAACTGATGAGGAAAACAAAGAAAGAAAAATCAACTTAAGTCTCCTTTAACTACCTCCTAACCTGTGTCAGGCAAAACGAGGAAGAGGCCAAGGTACCCTACCCAAACACTGAGTTCAAGGTCTACCCTCCCGTTCTTAATATTTCTAGTCACCCAGAGTTAGAGTTCTCAAGTTTTTCCAATATAACCAACGCCTCAACTCTCTCCTAGTGCAAACCGGCAGTTGCAAATCTCTGCCCTCTCCCCCACATAAAAACACCCCTGCTTAAAGCACTAATGGGAGCTACATGCAGTTCACCTGTCTTCAGCCTTCCTAACTTTCGTTACTTTAATTATTCGTGTCACAAAAATAAAGAGGCAGCAAGGCAAAAAATATCTACCACCAGAATGATAGAAAATGGAATCAAAGAATACGTGAATTTGAATGCTAAAAACCTCTTGACTAGAAGAGATCCCATGGGTGCTTCAAAGGCTCTGCAAGCACTCTCTTAGAATTTCTCTTTTTTCATAGATACAAGCAACTCTTGATTATGACAGATGCTTGGGGAATGCAATGGAGAGAACTAGTAGTCAAGAGTCACGCCCCCTAGCCCCCCCCCCCAATGAAGGGCTCTGGCCATCTGCAACATACATGGGAACATAAAATAAAATAAAATCTTATTTGCAAAAGGTGTTCTGTATGAATAAATAAACAAAATGTTTTATAACCATTAAACAGAATATTATTGGGCCATAAAAAGGAATGGTGATACATGCTACAACATGGATGAACGTTGAAAACGTTATGCTAAATTAAAGAAGCCAGACACAAAGGGCCACATAAGATTCCACCTGAATCTATTTAATATTTGGAAAAGACAAATCTAGCAAAACAGAAAGATTAGCGGTGATCTGGGGCTGGGGTTAGAAATAGGTAGTGACTACAAATGGGCACCAGAGATCTTTTGGAGGTGAAAGAAATGTTCTAAAAGTGGATTGTTGTGATGATTGCTGCACAATTCTAAATTTGACTTTTTTTTAAAGTCACTGAATAAGTACTTTAAAACAGGTGAATTTCACGGTATGTAAATTTTACCTTAACAAAGCTCTTACATTAAAAAAACTATACCCACACACAAACATATATATAAAATGGTTGCTGCAGGTAAAAAAAAGTTGGGAAGAATCACTGTTCTCTAGTCTCTCGTTTTTATACATATGCAAAATGAGACCTTGAAGTCAGAGAGCTACTTAGTAGCGTAGTTATGACTAAAGGGCCATAAAAAACTAAATTCTCCAGAGTTCACCTCAGATCTTATGCCACTCTATCCCACTTGGAAGTGTCTTAAAGTATAAATGTAAATACTGAACAACTTGCACACACAAATAGGCCAAGATACTCAGTGGCTCTAACAAAAACAAGGGGTAAACATCTTAATAAAAATGATGTTGTTCTGTAACAGTCTTAAGAAGCACATCACGACAGGGAAAGGCAAAACTTTAAGATACTACAGGTCTGAAAGCATTCTGGTTCCGAGAGTAAACCCAAGAGCCTCAGGGGCCCAACTTGCCGACGAGTCTCTCACTCTGGTTTTCTGCAAATCAGCGGAGCAGTGTGTAGACTCCGCTAGGGCAAAGAACTGAGGTCATTTAAAATCTGATACCAGAACCCTTCTGGGAGCATACCTAGCACTATGGGCATGTTCGGAGGCTGAGGCTCAGAGCTGGGGATAGTGTTTCACTCCGTTAAAGCTTGTTTCACATAAAGAAAATGAAAAATGAAATTCAGCCAGCTATCACACCGTGTAAACCCGCAGAAAAGGCCGGGCAGAGAGACTAGCCGTTCAAGTCCAGGCCGGGTCTGGCGAGCTGAGGGGACTGTTAATTCCCTACCGCCCTGCACGCCGCGTAACCGGCGCCTCTAAACGCTCCGGTCGAGGGTCGCAGGGAGGGCCCAGCCACCACCGGCGCAGACCCCCCACCCTCCGGGCCTCGGAGGCACATCTAAACGGGCCGGCAGCCGCGCAGACCGGGAGAGGAGCGGCGCCTACGGGACCGGGCCGCCTGACGTACCTGCTGCTGCCTCAAGCTTGGGTCCGGGGGGCGCAGGATAACGGCGACCCGGGGGCGAACACGCCTCTGGTCTCCATTCCGGGCTGTTTACTACCAACTCTCGCGAGACTGCAGCATCAAGACGCGGAGACCGACGGCTGGGAACGCCAGCCCCGGCAGCCGCGCGTATCCTGCGTGGGGCCTGCGTGCGCGCTCTTGACGCCCAGTGCCGCCCGGCCCCAGCCGGGAGGACCGACGCCAGTCTCGCGACGTTTGCGGCCTTGGGGAGGGGGCGGGGCTGTAACCAATGGGGCGTGGCTGTCTCGCTGGAACCTAGATGGTGCTGGGAGGAACCGACGGTAGGAGCGGCCTGGCGTGGGATGCGCTGGGCTTTGGGTCGGGATCTTGGAGGAAAGGCACTGGCACGAAAGCGTCCTTGTTGGCCCATGTCCTGCGCAGAACAAACCTGGCGGAACGGCCCCCGTGGCCAGCATTTGCTATAAACGCCTGAAGCTGTACTCCTGCTCACTGCCCGAGCGGGAGCCGGGCTGGGACGGCACCCCCACGCACCCACTCTGCAAACCTCTACCCATTTCACCCACGTGGCAGCCGAGACGCTGGAGAGTGGGTCAACCTGTGAGTCAGTCACCTGACTCCCACCCTGACAGGCGAAACTCCTGCCCCAAATCTTGTCTGCACCACTCCTGCCCCCTCTCCGCCTAGCCAGGACCACTAGTACCAATTGTTACCCTTTTTGAAGAAACAGGGATCAAAAGTTTGCCTCCCAAAAAAGTGGGTGATTTAGATACTAGGGATCACAGACTGTTTTCTGTCTAAATGCTAAACTGGCCTGCACTTGGCATTGGGCACAACTGGGGGACTGAAAACGTTTTAGGTATGCTAATGAAAAATGATGTGCTATGTAGTCAGATAAAACTGCTTTATGTCTTGTTTGAACTTTCCACCGCAGCATGATAATGCTGAATGGGGCCAATATGACCAAAAGAATCACAGCGCTTCATCTTCCCTTTAACAAACTGATTTAATATAGTGGATAGAGAATCACCTGCGAGCTTTGTGATCTTGGGCAAACTGTACCTCTGTTCTTTTTACCTCACCTTCCTCATCCAAAAAAGATACTAATACCTACCTCATAGGAGGAGGGTTAAATAAAACATACAGAGCTTGAGTCATACATGTTCAATAAACAGTGGTGGTTACCTCTAGACCAGTCCACACCTAAGTACCCCCCTCCCCCCATTTGAGATCCTCAAAGTTAAGCGCACACTCCCTGCTGCCACCATTAATGCACCTGATCTTAAACTTAACTGTTCTAATTTGGGGTAAACGGATCTTGTCCAGGGTTCTTTTAACAGCCCTTTGCTATTGAATACACAACCCAACTGTTAGGGGCTGAGATAAGCTAGTGAACTGCAAACATCCTTGTCATGTGACAGTGAAGCCCCAAAATAGGGAAGAGAGGAATGCTGCCAGCTCCTGAGAACCCTATAAACTGAAGGGAGCCTGGACATGAGACAGATGGCTGGGAAATCTACCAAGAAGGGCGGAGAGCCACAGGATCCTGGTGTCCTGGTTTTCCACCACTCCAGGTTCTATAATAACTTCCTACACCCATGCTTCATGTGTGTAATAAAGCATTCACAATTCCATGGAAGGTAAATCTTTATTCAAACTAAATACATTTTAAAGAACAACAGCTTAGCCAATACTGAGACAGAGACATGGAGAGACTGTACTTGATTTCAGAGGGCACACGTCAAAGATGGAGGATACCACCTAAACCCTCTGGTTCCCAAATGTGACAAGATTTAAAATGACGTGAGGTTAAAACAGAGCAAAACAAGAAGACTCCTACTGAGCTATCTCTCCTTGCTGTCTCCCTGTTCTTCCCACTCTTTCTTGACCCCACTACAACCTACCTTTCATCCCCACCAATCAATGAAATGGCACCAATCAATGATCATGGCAAAACTGCCAGTGATCGCCACGTTGCCAAAATCAACGATCAAAATCAACCTTCATCTTACCCAATCTGGAGAATGAGATGAAGAAATCAACTTAGTTTTTTCAAAAGACATGCTTATGTACAATTTTCTTGCTGAATTACCAGCTCTTAATGAAGTGCATCCACAGGTGTTCAAAGTTTTTGCAATTTTTAAATCATTGTTCTATGGGGGGGGAGATGAATCTCTCATTCCAGACAACCTATTTACAAATATATGGAGCAAAACCTCTTCCAAAGGAAGCAGCAACCACTTTCATTGTTAAATTTTCAGTTCACAGATTGTTCAAAGGGTCTTATTTCCCACATTCTTAATAAGAAACCCCATCTACAGTGGCGCAATTATGACTCTAAAATGAGCTCTGGAAAAAGGTATTTTATGAAAGACAAAACCTAACGAAGATTCTTGGCTTTGACCTTTCACTAACTTTGCACCAAAGAGCTTATTTATATATGTTCTACCAAGTAGGGAATTTTAAAACATCACTGACATGGTTTACGTATTCTCATCATGTAACAGTGTTTCAATACCTAATCTATAAGACATTGCTGTCCCACATAACACCTTAGGTAGAAATATGGTATTTTTTACATAAAGTTGCTACTACTTATTACATGTCAAAGTTCAGGTCAATGTGGCATGAAGTCAATTTTTTTCTAGTCTTAATAACTATAAAATAATTGTTGGGTGAGGGAAAATGCCAAAGGCTTCTAAGTTAACTCCATCAGAACCTTCAGTGCTATGTAGTGCCGCTAGTGTGTACGTTTCCACTGAACTGTCTTACTCTTATGTGATGAAGGCCTGATCTGTAAGTGGAAGAGCTTCTGAACTGAGTCCAAATCACATCTGGAAATGCTGAGGCAATGTCACTGGCAAAATTGTGGGTATAACATCAAAGCAGGCTTAGGCCTACTCATAATGGAACATTATCTCAGGAGAAAACAATTCCATAAAAGTCCTGGTTTCCAGTTTACTAGCTTCTGCATCAGTGTCCCAGTATTAAACTCCAAGTTTTTACTTTGCACATATTGTCATATTCATAGTGATTTACAACTGCCAAAGCACTAGGTATGTAGTCCTCAAAATGTTCACCTTTATAGGACCTGAACCAAAAACATTTCACAGTAGGTTTCAATGTTAGCCCATATTGTGGGGGGTTGTACATAATTATCTTCACACTAATAAAAGTATTCACTATAATGCATAAATTAATTACAAGAACTAACTTATTTCAACAGATACAATACATATCACACATATTTGTCCACATTTTAACTACTATTCCATAAATACTTGTTTATACCAATAATCTACTGGAATGTAATGTTACATAGAAAAGTGTATGAAAACCAGATATAACAAGCTCTAAAGGGCTAAATTTCAGTTATAAAATGGGTCATAGGCTGAGAAATCACTACTTGTCCACAATAATTCTAAATCAAGAGATTACTGACAATCACTACTTGTCCAAATCTAGGAATGAATTCATTCCATGGTAGATTAAAAAAAACCACAGAATGTTGTAAGTAATATTATACACGGCAAGCCTATAGCTCAAAAGTGGGTAAGCTCCTTTAGTATGAAGAGGAATAATCTAGAATTTTAATACCCTGTAAGGTTCCACATTAAACCATCTAAACAAAAAAAAAAATTTTTTAAGTAACTTACCCATAACGTTCCCCAGATGCACACAACATCCATACATATATGGTTCTCTAATGAATTACCAGTTGAAAGCAGCATTTTCATACATGGATAGTCAAACAGAGCTATACAATATTAACACACACAGAGTTCTAATGCTAATCATACCAACAATCTTATAAAATAACACTTAGAGTCTTTCCTGATGAACATTTGGAAACCAATACTATAATTCATCTACTGAAATAATTTCCCTTAAAAAGCAACATCTGAAATTATAAGAAGTGACAAGTCCTGTTACAAGTATATTTCAGTATCAGATTGCTGTAGCTCCTAGAACAACATAAATCACTCAACTTTTGAAGAGCTTAGGGAAAAAAGCATCGAAATTTAGGTTTCCTCAATCAGTTCTTGTGCACGCCTCAAGTCATTATTTACTCTGTACCATCCATGTGGCCCTTGAGGTTTTTCCACAGCATTCTCTAAAGTATTATGTTTGCTTTGCAAATGATGAGCCAATAGTATGCTAAATAAGCAGTAATAAAAGAAAATACAGAAGATAAATTAAATGTGTTCTTCCAAATGTCAGAATACTGTAGGTTCCCATGAGTTGACAAAACTTCCCAAACCATCATCCAGTTTCATGGTTTGCAGGATAAGGCCTCCTTTCGTAAAGAACGATTGAGAATATTTGCTCCCCACACCCAGAGCCACTCAGGCATATACTGTGCAAAAAGAAACTAAAAATGAAAGAGAAAAAGGTTATAAGATTAGAACCCAAAGCCAATGGCACTGAATGTACAGATCAGCATCTGATTTAATCCAACAAATATCACTGATCATTTAAATACAAAGATGGAAAAAGACCTTAGGTGCTACTGTACTTAGCACATACTTTTGCATAAGACCCTTATGTTAGACCTATGGGAAGAAACATTACCACCACCTAGCCACCCCCTTTGTCTAACTTTTGTCTAATAGGGATGGACAGACCTACATGTAGTAATAGGATTCCATCTTTAAGTGATATGAATAATATGTTAATTTGCTTAATTTGGTTAAGAATTACAAACTCCTTCCAGAAGAAAGGCAGCCGAAATAGATAAAGGCATGCATGGTTAGTACTATGTGAGAAAACAGGAGAGGGAGAGAGAGATAGAAACATCAATGATGAGAGAGTCATTGATCAAACCCGCAACCCGGGCATATGCCCTGACCGGAAATCAAACCCTGATCGCCTGGATCCCAGGTCGACGCTCAACCGCTGAGCCACGCCCGGCCGGGCTAAAATGTTGGTGTTTTATAAATGCAGTCAAAATATCTACTGCATCTAAACATGAATCTTTATTTTATCTTCACTTCTCAGGAAACTTCACGGTCAGTGGCTTTGAAAATTATTTTAGGTTTCTCTGCTTTTCTCCAGTAATTAAGGACCTGGAAATAACCGCTTAAATAAAACTACTTCTTATTAAAGAAACTTTTAGCCAAAACTTTTGACAAAAGCAAAAATTCACTGTTGATTTACTTATCTATTTATTTGGTATTGGTAAAGTTGATAATCTTTATTGCAGAGTCCCCAAAATACCTGCTGGTAACTTAAGAAAACTACATATTAAAGGAAAAAGAATTCTAAACTAGGGTACATCCACTTACTATGCCAGATAAAGAGACACATGTCTTTTATAATAAATCATTATGAGTTCTCTAATACTTAGAATCAAATTTTCAAATATTTAGCAAAGTTACTCTTTAAAATACTCAAGACCCAAGTCTTTGTCATGCCTGAAGAATAAACTTTAAAAAAAAAAAATTCTTTGCTTCCTAAACAAGTAAGTCCAAGAATATACTGAGATTACTGAGATATGTGACAACTATGTTACATAAAATATAGACCTATTTTGTGGTTTTATGACTTTGGATCACCCTGTTGACTTAGAGTCCTCTCAAGCATTACTAGAATATTTTTACTCTGAAATTCCCATCTAAGTTCTTAATATTTTTATACTGCTACCATCTACTTATATTAAAGGAGCATATTTCATCTCTCTGGTGTCAAGAAGACTGAATTTTTTAATGTTCTTAATATAATAATTCCACAAAAGAAAATTCAGTGTCTTAACCAGAACTATTAAGAGTGTCCGGTTTAAGAATCAAAATTTGCAATTCTCATCTTTCAGCCTTAGGCTTCAGTAAGATTCCCATGTATCATTTAGAAAGGTTTAAGATGCATTAACCTAATTACAAGAGTGAATGCATGCTATTACCTGGATAGAATGGGACCAGTATCCTGTGGTCCTTTTCGAAATGCCAAGGGTAGAAACGGCATGATGTGCATATACTTTTGGTGAAGGCACCAGCCACGGGCACTTGTGCAGAAAGCTGCCAGGGGCAGTCATGCTGGTAGCCACGTAAAACGGGATTAGACTCTGTACAAAGATTCCTTTGGGAGCATATTCATACTGCAACGCCCTGCTGAAGTGGTCTAAATAAGCCTGAGAAAATGGAGTGGAGGAAAAGGCTTTTAATGTTCTGGAACTTGAAAGGAAATTCAGAAGATGAAGCTTGCTTATTACCATTTCAGGAAAAAAATACAGCATAAGCAAACATGAGTTGCTGACAAAGAGCTCAACAAAGTGGGCCAGCCCATTGTAACAAATGTCCCATTGCATTATGATTTCATTTCTGATCAAGAATACATTACCTTAGAAGCAGAAAAGGCAGCCAGCTGAGGAGTTGGTTTGCAGCAGGAGCCAGAGGAGATAGTGACGACAGCGCCTTTCTTCCTCTCCACCATCCCCGGTAACACTATGTGGACCATCAAACTAGCAGCAGCAATGTTCACATTGATGATGTCCCAGAGTTTGTCCTCGGACACCTGAGTAAAATACTGAGGGTAGGGATAAAACACGCCCACGTTATTTACCAAGATGCCAATGTCTTTGTCTTTCAAGGCTTCTCGAATTGGGTCGTAGATCTCCCGGCCGTTGCTGAAGTCGGCCACTATGATATCGGTTTCCACTTTGTAGGTGTCAGCGATGTCTTTAGCAACCATCTGCAACTTCTCTTGGTTCCGACTAATCAAGATGATATTGAGACCACGGCTTGCTAACTCTTCTGCATAGGCTCTTCCAATCCCATCTGTTGCACCTACAATATATAACCAGGAAAAGTGAGCATACTCATTTCATGGTGAGATCTTTAAAATGAACCTTAAGTACCCCATTTCAAATTTCTGGGCTTTAATCAAAGAAAGAATCGCACTAGAAGTAAAGCGAGTTCTAATACTGATCAGTCAAGCATGTCATTATGTGAATGATACATACTAGTCAAACACTCTCCCAGACACCCCAACAGGTAGACAAAGAGTTGTTTTACATTCACCACATTGATGATGAGGCTTAGTAGGAAACTGTTTTCAAACATATATCTGGCTTGAATAAATGCCAGGAGATACTTTCCTGGGAAACGATACATTAAAATGATATTTAAAATAAGGAAAGCATTTCTGAAAGTGGTGACAGTTTGTACGGACAATTTCAAAACATAGAGCAAAAAGGAAAGCAAGGTGTAGGAAGGTGAGGCTGGAGCAATACTGAGAATAAGAAAGAGCAGTCAGGACAAAAATCAAAGGAAAATTCTTCCAAGTTGATAGTAATAAGAAAATGTGAACATAATCATAACAGAAGTAATGTTTTATTTTTTATCAGCAAGTTCTCATATAATCTAGTAACTCCTTGAATAATACACACAACTTAAAATACAAACAGGAAAGATTAATTCTATTTTAAATTAGACAAGAATTGAAATCCCATTTCTTACCACTCACGACAGCCCATCTTCCATATTGCTTGATCAGATCTGCTCTGCTCACCAGGCGAGGGACAAAGTGCAGCCTAATCAGGCTGTAAAAGTCACAGATGACGGTGATACTTTTTCTGGCTGTATACCAGGCTCCAACCAAGGCTAGAGCTTCCATGTAGCAATTGCACGACCTGGCGATTTCCCTATACAAGAGGTAGAAGTTGTCGACGGCAGCCATGGCAGCCTGCAGGAAAGGGAAAGAGAGGCGTTCTTTGCTCAGTAAGTTAAAGGAACATGCATAGTCTGAGTGAAGAAAACCATCTGAGGAAATGAGAACTGAATAATTTTGCATTCATATAATAGTAATAGTTCAAATTCATATAGCCCATGGATCCAGGAAATTTACAATCTCATTAACATTTGTAGTTTATAAAGTTCTTTTCTTCCAAGGAGATTAGCCAACGCAACTACCAAGAGTTACCAAATGCCTACTAAAATTCAGGCACTGTGCTACATGTTGTGGATACAGAGATAAACACAATATGCTGTGCCCTAAAAAAGCTCCAAGCTCAGTATAATGACTGCAGAGACTTTAATTCATGTAACAGATGAGAGGGATGTTTATTTCTTTGCTTCATTCATAATGAGCAGGTGCAGAGGGCTTACTGCCCATGTAGACACAAAGTAGAAACAGAATATTAAGTACATGGCCTTGGCTGCAAAGAGCTTACAATCCATTTGAGACAAAACTAAGCTGTGACAAACTTTCACATAAATAGTATCCATAAACGTATATTTAAAAAGAAATACTCCCCAAACTTGAATGGTTTTCTCAAATGACAATGGGGTAAGCACTCCTCCATCTTACCAGGTTAATTTGCACCCCACTATCTCTGACTGGCACCTTATGTTTGAGGAAAGAAAAGTCCAGCCTGGCTGGGCGTGGCTCAGCGGTTGAGTATCGATCTAGGATCCAGGAGATCGGGGTTCGATTCCCGGTCGGGGCACATGCCCGGGTTGCGGGCTAGGCAGCCGATCAATGACTCTCTCATCATTGATGTTCCTGTCTCTCTCCCCCTCCTTTCCTCTCTCTGAAATCAATAAAGATATATTTAAAAAAAGAAAAAGAAAAAGTCCAATATAACTCTTTTAAGTATCCACATAGCAAACATTTACTAAGCACCTACTATATTCCATGTACTGTGACAGTTGCTAAGGAGTCAAAGATGAATTAAATCACTGTACCTCGGAGAAAAGACAGACATTTAACAAAACAGTTTTAAATGCCAGATGAACTAGTGCACATGTGCCTGCAATCAGAGACAACCCTTCAGGGGTAGACAAAGACGAACATGACCAAGGCTGATGAGCTTCATCCTATACTGGGCCTGGGGGCCGCTGACCCAACTGTGCACTATCGAAAAGGGACAAAATATCAAACAGACCAGAATAGACTACAATTAAACTACAGAGGGCTGAGATACACAAGAACAAGGATATAGTGTTTATTATATAAAAGAAAAATTGATTTTAAGCCAACATATATGTACATAAAACTTCTGAGATTAGTCTCCTTTATAGAAATCCCATAAAAAAGAAAAAAAAAATCCCGAAACTAAGAAAATACCCAAAAATAGCAAAACTTGATAACATAAGCTTAAGGAAGAACGAGTAAATTCCCTCTACGCTACCACAATATGGGCTCAACCAGTTCTCCACTAAGCTGGAGGAAATACCACAAATGAAATAAGTTTATATAAGAATGACACCACATTGTGATTAAAAGGAACACAAAATAATTAAAAACTATTAAATATACATTATATGTTGAATATTAACACTTCTAGTCCTAATTACAAATCAACAAAACATACAAAGGAAACATGATAGAAAACTGAATAGATAGGCAGTAGGATTCTTAAATGCCTCACAATAAGGATATAATCTCTTATCAAATAAAACGTTTTACATTGCTACCATGTTACTAATTAAGTAGATATGGCATTAAGTTAAAAATGTTTTTTTCTAATAACAACATAGAAAATGACTGAAGTTGGGCCACCTTATTTCCAATAGGTAAAATGCTATATACTAGGGATGTGTTCATAGAAACTTACCTCCTACAATAAGAATGCCAAGATTGATCATGAAGAGAAAACATTATAAGTTTTATTAAGTGCACAAACCAAATACTTAAAAACAATTAAGTCTCCTTTGGGGTAAATTTTCTTCATGGACCCCTGGCTAAGATTTCCTAAAATACGAAGTACCAAGATCAATGAAGCTTGGACTGAAGATGCCTTTCTTTTCCTGATCAATCTGCCAAACAAACAGGCAATAATACTCCTTGTTGCTCTCAAATCCTCTGAAATACATTTAAAGTTAGGATCATTTGTCTCGAAACTGTTTATTCTTTTTCTGCTGTGCATGCATGCCTCTCAAAGTTCCCAGACAGTAGAGAGGAGGGAATGACGTGCCACCCCTTTTCAAGGGTTCCTTGCTCTGCCATCTCAATACACAGCTAAGTCCCTGCTGAGGCAGGTAGCTGACTGGATGTGCCCCTGACCTGGCATGGAGGTCCTGAATAGTATTAACAGCAAGATTCCCAAATAAATAACCAAAACATGAATTTCTTCTAAGAAAGAACATAAAAACTGAGATTCCATGTTAAACCATCCTAAGTTGGGAGTTCCTGAAATAACGTTTTAAAGAGTACAAATACAACTCCGTGAGAGGAAAAAGTAAATGCAAAAATAATCACTTTTATGCACTAGTACTTTTCAAACAAAATTAGAAATAACAAAACTATGACATAAAAACTAAATACTTGAAATATTAAATCTTTTCTTCTAAATAACAGGTGGGAGTATATCTAAGATGTTAAAGCAATGTTTTCAGTGAAAAATTAAATACCACATATCAAAATCTAATGGGTTATAACCACAGCAATACTGTGGGGAAGGCAATTGTACAAAGTGTATATGACAAGGTTCTAGCTAAACAGGAAGAGGTCTGATATGCCTCAGGCAATGACCTCATACTAATGCGAAACTCAATTTCTCCCACTCAAATACAATTTTTTCAAGAATTTGAAAGATGCCTGACTACAAAGGAGTCTCACAATTTTTCTGCTCTAGTCATTAACTACCCTGGTTTTCCTCTTACCTTCTCTGCCAGTTCTGGGCCTTCTTAAGGCTCAGTCTCTTTTTAAGGCCAATCTGTGAACAAAACCAACACAAAACACATTCCTTTCTTTTGCCCTCATAGCTCATCTGGGAAAATTTTATATAAAACTAAGATGAAAGATTTTTAAAATTAAGAAAACATAAAAAGTCTTATGTCATAAATTCCTGTGTGTGTGTGTACACACGAGCGCAGCAAAGCATTTCCTCATCTAATAATAAGAAAGGCACCAAAAGCACCTGTCTGGTGAAAGGCCTGGCTGGAATGGCAACCTGTTTCTGCACCTTTTTTCTTAAGGAACATTTCATCAAATGGGACAAACCTGTTCAAATAGCTCAGAGAGAGATGGTGGTCGGCAGACACCGGGCGCTCAGGACACAATCTGCAGGAAGAGGCCGCAGCCCAGAGGCGGAGGAGGCAGACATGGCCATCCTCCCCCTATCTCCCGGTGTCCACCTGGACTTTCCCCTGGGCCCCATCTTTCTCTTTGCAAACCACCTTCCTGTGTCCCACCTGCAGGGCACCTGAACTTCCACACACAGCCGCCACCTGGCATCTCTATTCCAATTCCTGGCAGAGGTTCTGACTGGCCCCCTGAGCTCCGGCATCCAGCACTTATCTAATCAGCTGGCAGAGGTGCAGGGAGGAAGTATCCTGTGGTATTTGGAACAGCATTTGAATGGGGTCAGGTGCTGTAAGAATGAAGAAATGAAAAGAAACTCTGGTACACCTTTTCCCTCTCCTTCCGCCCCAGACACTGCGTTATAACTTCTGTTTCTGAACCACCCCCGGGACTTCCTCTAGGGCTGAGGCCAAATCTTACTCCTCTGTTTCTCCAGTACCTTCCATAACCCCTGACATAGAGCAGGAGCTCAACAGATGCTTCTTGCATTAAACTGTACTACCCAGTCTCTGCTCAGCCCCCAGGCTGTTTTTCCCACCTAGATCTCAGTCTCCACACACCATCTTGTTCCCCCACTCCAGAGGGTACTACCAAACAAACTACTTTGATCCTTTACAGAAAGAAAAACCTCATGTGCAAAATCCACCAGGGACCTCCTGCTAAGGTCCAGCAGGAGAGATGCAACAACATGGGGTGAATTGAGAACAGTGCTGTCAAGGGGATTCAACCCGACTGGCCCCGCTTCTGAACACTACCTATTCAATTCCCCTTCACCATCTTGGGCAGGGAGAGAATACCATTACCATATTTTAACATTATAGTTCCACCATAGACAAATACCTTAAACATCTATTATCATTGTTATATTTTTTAAACATCACAGAGAATCAGAGGGCTGACAGCGTTCTAGGTCTGGTCTTCAGCCCTTAGGAAGAAGCCGATGGGGCTTGCTGTGGAAGTCAGCTGGCAGCAGTGGAGGTGGCTGTAGTAACGTGGGCACGAAGTGAGGAGTCCTGAACCCTGGTCCATCCAAATGGGGAGGAAGCAAGGCTGCATTGAGAGCACCTGGCTTTGTGATTGATTCCTTGCTGCTCCTCAGACACACCATTTTCACACATCTGTTCACACCGTGATGGACCAAAATGGAAAATAACAGGAAATTATAAACTCCTTATATTCCCTCACTCTTCTTCCCCACCCTTAAGTACATGATGGGAAAAAAATGTCTTTTTAATGAAAGAAGAAATCAGGACTTCCCCCAAAGCCACTAAATTCCAGGAAAGCTCATGGAAACAGTTTTAAAAGATTATATTACACATCTAAGTCTAGAAGCTGACCACGATATATACGAGCTACATTTAACTTGCTTTGGGGGTTTGACTAGTTAATTTCTCTGTGGATAGGTTATTAGTCTAAAACTTAGGGAAATCCATTATTTAGAAAGCAACACTAAATCACGGTAAAGTTCTGGTCCCTGTACAACCTACTTTAAAAGTTATTATAGAGCTTTGTTTTCTTGCCTCTACAGAAAACTAAAACATCAAGAGAAACAGTAAAACAGTAAGGAAAATCATGAGTAGGAAAATAGTAAGTCAGTACAGGTCCCCAAATAGAAAAGCAATGGTCCCTACTATCTGTGAGGCATTTTCTACTTGGATAAGGTGGTACTCATCAGGGCTAGTTCATCGAACACTCAAAGGTCTCTTAAGGAAACTGTGGACTTCGGGTGTTTATGATGTCAATGCAGGTTTATCTTTGGTGAAAAGGTGCCATTCTCATAAGTGATACTGATAATGGGGGAGGCTCTGCATGTGTGGGAGAAGGGGCATAGGAAAAACCTCTATGCCTTCCTCTCGATTTTATTGTAAACCTAAAACTGCTCCAAAAAAGTCTTAAAAAACCTTAAAAAAACCTTGAAGATAACATTACAACTATAAAAGTATCATGGGAAAATTATGGTCAAAGCTATAAGGAGCAAAGTCACCTCCTCAAAGCACAACTGCTGTGGCCTGTAACACTCTCCTGACCTACAGTTTAGCTGACTCAAGCAAATCTACTACAGGCACACCTCAGAAACATTGTGGGTTCAGTTCCACCATATGCCTATATAAAAATCTTCAGGCATCAAGAGTTCTGGGGAAAGTGTCCGGGCTGAAACACAGACATCACCAGGCTATCCAAATAAATGACACCTGGGAGAATGGTAAAAGAACATAAGACAGATTGGCCAAAATAGGGAGAAGACAAAGCAAGGTGTTGTGGTCATCTGAATAATGGCCCTCCAAGATGCCCACAGCCTAATTCTCAAACCTCATAAATATGCCACTTTATGTAGCAACGGGGACTCTGCAGGTGTGATTAAGTTAAGGATCCTGAGATGGGGAGATTATCCTGTATTATCCGGGTGGGTCTAATGTGACCACACTTACCCTTATTAAAGGGAGGAAGATGGAGAGAGGTGTCACAGGTCAAGGAATGCAGGCACCTCTATAAGGGGGCAAAGGCAAGGAAATGGATTCTCCCCTGGAGCCTACGAAGTGACACAGCCCTGTTGACACCTTGACTTTAGCCCAGTGAGACTGATTTCAGACTTCTGGCCTCCAGAACTGTAAGAGAACAAATCTGTGTTGTTTTAAGCCACGAAATTTGCAGTTGTTACAGCAGCCATAGAAAATTAAGATGGATGGATGGACAGACGGATGGACCAACAGTCAGTCTAATTTTTAGGACAGTAAAGAGACAAGTTGAAAATCCTCTAACACCCTTTAACCCAAAATCTGCAAGTGTATTCAGGAGCCAGAAAGTAGCCTCAGAAATTCCTCTGATCTTCAATTGACTGGGGCAGACCTGAGGTGGTCGTCACCATCCTCATCAACAGCCGGTATTTTAAAACTTTTCAGTAAGGCGCCAGGGCTTGGACTTTATTTTCATTAACTTTTTAAAAATAGGAATCTTACTTCCTTCACACAGTCTGAATCTGCCTTGCTCTCAGCACTCAAATTTCATCTGTCCTTCTAAGAGCAGCTCAAGTCCCATTCCTTCTCCACAGTTCCACCCCAGCACTCACGGACAAGCACCAATGACACGCCAGGCCCTGAGGGTAAACCGGAGGCCAACACACCTCTTCCCTTTCCTTCCTAGTTCATGTTGGGGAATCCCAACTCTGAGTTCCCCTCCCTCTCTTACCCACATGGCACCCACCACACTGCTCTGCATTCTTCTTGTGTTTAACTTGTCTCTACCTTGGTTCTCCACCTAGAGCACAGGCCTCTTGAGGGCAGGAAATTAACTTTTCTGTAATTTAAAAAAATTGAACAATACACACAGAAGTTGTAAAGCATTATGCACAGTTCAAAGAACAATAAAACTCCCACACAGTTACCCTGCTTCACAAATAAAGCCAGTCACAGAAGCCTTGTTTGCCTCTTCCCTCATCACATTCTCTTCTGCCATCCTGCAGGGAACCTCCCTCCTAAATTCTGGCATGACCATGTCCTTGGTTTTGTTTGTTTGTTTTTTTAATAGTTGTATCCCAGTGTGGATTCTGAAATAATTGTACTGTATTCCATTTTGCCAGGTTTTGAACTTTATATAAAGGAATCATACTGCATGTATTCTTTGGTGACTTGTTTCTTTCACTCAATATTGTTTTCGAGACTCATCCGTACTCCTGAAGCTGTAGGTTACACTTTCACTGCTGCACACTATCTCATAGTACAAATACACTATATTCATATATCCATTCTACTGCTGATGGGCATTTGGGTTGTTTTGTTGGTTTATACTTTACAATTATAATCAGTGGTGCCACAGACATTTTTATGCACATCTCCTGGGCACGTGTGTAAGTTTCTCAAAGAGATAAACCTAAGAGTCAAATTGCTAGGCCATAAGACACCCATGTATTCAGTAGACACTGCCAAAGTGGCTGAACCAATCTGCACACCTTTCAATAGCAAGTGTGAGTTCACGCTGCCTCTTTCTCAATGGCTGGCAATGTCTAACAGTTCACCTTCTGCCCATAGGGTATTGTGAAATGAGATCTTATTATGGTTTTAATTTACATTTCCTGATTACTAATAAGGCTGACTGGCATTCTTCTAATGATTATGTGCTGTGTCTTCTCATTTATGAAATGCCTATTCCTAACTTTTGCTTTATTTATACTGTGTCTTTTTGTTTCAGAATTGTAAGAATTCTTTCTATATTCTAGATACCAGTTCTCAGTATGTTTTGTCTCTTTATAGTGCACTCAATAAACTGAATGTCTTAATTTTAATGTAGTCAAATTTATCAATCTGTATGGTTTGTGCTTATGTTTTATTTCAGAAATCCTGTCTTAGCCCCAGGTTATAAAGATATTTTTCTATATTACTTTCTAAAAGTTTTCCCAGTTTTGTTTTTTGGATTTAAGTCTTTAATCCTCCTGAGGCTTTGTGAAGGTGTGAGGCTGGGATCAGATTCATCTTTAATATTCCTCCTCTGGACCTGGCATGGTACTATGTATACAATATTTATTTAATAAATAGAAATAATTACTGTTTTGTATTCGAAGCTCAAATTTCACTCTTGAGGAGAAAAAAAAAAACTTAAGAAGCTTCTCAAATTTTGTGTTAGCACTTTGACAAAGTTATTATTGATGTATCATGACTTTTTGGAATTTCCTTACCATCTTTTGCCAATTTTTAGTAGACTGCTAAACTGAATTAATGGGAAGCTGAGTAGAAGCTGAGTTAAGTGCTCATCCAAGATCCAATACTCCTCAGTTTCAGATTTCCATTTGTGAAGTAGGAATCAAAATTAACAGCATTTATTCCTAGGTATATACCTAAGATAACTAAAAACTTACGCTCACACAAAAACTTGCCATGTTCATAGCAGCACTATTCACAATAGCTAAAAAGTGAAAACCCAAATGTCCAGCAAGAGATGAACAGATAAACCAAATGTGGTCTATCCACACAACGGATAAAAAGAATGAAGTGCTGACACACACTACAACCTGGACAAGCCTTGAAAACATGATGCTGAATGAAAGAAGCCAGACAGAAAAGGCCAAATCATGATTCCATTTATATGAAATGTCCAGAACAGGCAAATCCACAGAGACAGGAAGTAGATTAGGGTTGCCAGGGGACAGTGAGTGGAAACCAGGGAGTGACTGCTAATGGGGTGGGATTTCTTTGAGAGATGGAATGTTCTGGAATTAAATAGTGGTGATGGCTGCACACTGAATATTCTTCTATGAAAAGTATACTTTTAAGTGGCTAAAATGGTAAATTTATGCTATGTAACTTTTACCTCAATTAAAAAACAATACCATGCCCCTAGACTATTACTGTAGTGATTAAAACCACACACTGAAAAGACTTCCTGGATTCAAATCTGGGATCCCCATGTAAAAGCTGTGTATCTTGGGTGAGGAAGTTAAGTTACTTCACCTCTGAGCTTTCCTTACATCACCTATAAACATGGGGATAATAGTTCCCACCTAAGATTATAATGAGAATTAAATGAGGCCATACACATAAAGCACTTAGAACAGTGACTGGGACACAAGTGATCAATTAACCTTAGCTATTATTCATTATAATTCAGTGTTCAATGTTAGCTATTGGCTATTTGTGGTGAGTTAAAACTGAGAGCTGGCTTTATGCAAAAGACTCTAAGTGCTTTATTCCCATCAGCTCACTTATTCTCTCATCAACCTTATAAGGCAGTGTTATAATCCTCCCCAGTTTACAGATGGGAAAACAGGTTTACAGAGGTAAAGTGACATACCCAGGACCCCGCAGCTAAGAAGTGGACAGTGGGAATTCAGATCAAGGTCTAAGTCCAGACTCTGGCTGACAGCCCCATTGAGGGACCCCCAGGTGGGCCTCCTGCTGGCATCACCAAGGGCCGCGGGGCTTGCTGGGCTGTGTCTGGGCTGCACGACCCTTTGCACCGGGGCAGCCTCACTAGTCTCCAGAACCCCTCCCCTCCAGCACCTGTCAGCACCGACGCTTCGGGACCTGGTGGTGCCCTTTCTTCGAGCGCTACCTTATTCTGAATTACTTCTAATTCATAACAAAGACGAAAACAAATCCCACTCAAACCAAATCCTTTGGTAATGAGAATAAAGAAGAACGGACAAGGGATGACTTTTCAGAGCTTCACGGCGAGCACT